AGAAAGAAAGAATGGAGAGAGCAGCAGGAAAAGGAAAGAAAGAGGAAGCGAAAAAAGCTGAGACAGAGAGAAAAGGAAATTATAAAATAGGAGGAAGGCTGAGAAAGTGACAGGAAAAAATAGAAAGTGGAAACTGCGAAAGAAAAAAGTGGAGGGGAGAAAGAAAGAGGGAAGGGGACAAGGAAAGAAAGGAGAAAAGTGGGAAGGCGATAAAAGAGAGGGAAAGAAAGAGAAAGAAGAAAGGAAAAGAAAGTGTAAGGAGAAGGAAAGAAAGAGACAAGAAGTGGGAAAGCAAAAAAAAAAAAAAAAGGAAAGAAGCAAAGAATAACGAACGAGAGAAGGAAAGCTGTGAAGCAAGAGAGAGAAACAAGGCAGAAAGAAACGAAAGCAAGGGAAGAAAAAGAAAATTAAAGGACAGAGAGGCGGCTCGGGAGAGCGGCGGGCCGGGCCCGGGGGCTGTGGGGGACCCGGAGCCGCTCCCGGGGCCGAGGGGGCCGCGCCGGTGCCCCCGGGGCAGCGACCGCAATCCCCGGCGGAGCCCCGGGGACAAGCGAGGGGTTGGTACCGAGCAGATAAAACTAATCCGGGCTGCGGGACCCCCCGGCACAGCGGTGGGACACAGGGGAAGGCGGTGGAGGGGAAAGGGAGAGGGGAAAACACGAGGGGAAAAAAAATCCGAGGGAAGGAAAAAAAAAAAACAAAAAACCCGAGGGGAAAAAAAAATACATGAGGGAAAAGGAAAGAAAAGGAGGCAGATAAAGAAAGGGAAAGGAAAAGAAAGAGGATAGGAAGGAATGGAGAGAAAGAAAATAAAGATAAAAGAAATAGAGACAGAATCGGAAAATGAAGAGAAAGAAAGAACGAACGAAAGAAGCAAAACAAGAAAGTGAAGGAAAGAAAGGAAAGAAAAGAAAGAGAAGAAATAAGGAGAAGAGAAGGAATCGAGAGAAAATCTACAGAACCAAACAACATCTCTCTGCGCAGCCGAGATCCACCGCACCGAAATCCTTCCTTCCCTTCGTTCCCGGCGAGGAGAAAACCAAATTCCCGGCTCGGCTGCGCACGGAGGAGGCGGCGGCGCCGGTGCCGTGGCCCGGAGCTCCGAGATGCTCGACCGGGACCCCGGGGGGCTCCACGGGGGCTGTGCCCGGCCACGGCCCCGCGGCTGCGGGAGCGCTCCGGCCACGGCACCGGCAATTCGGAGACACCGGCACCGGCAATTCGGAGATATCCCCGAGAATTCGGAGACACCACCGGGAATTAGGAAGCATCACCGGGAATTCGGAGATATCCCCGGGAATTCGGAGGCACCGCGGCCGTGAGTGCGGGCACAGCAGCAACAGGTCCTGCCCTGCAGCCCCGAGCCCCCTCCCCGGGGCCACCCGCAGCCCCCTCGGCCCTCGCCCCCCTCAGCCCCCGCTCACCTTGGAAGCGGTGGCCGAAGAATCGGTTCCGCAGCACCCAGGGGTAAAAGTTGAGCGGGTCGCGGTGCTGCGGCCCGAAGAAGGGGTGCGGGTGAGGCAAGGCCGAGCCCCCCAACTGGGGGGGCCCGACGGGCAGCGCCGGGTGCCCCACGGCCTCGGGGAAAACGAGCTCGGCGCTGCCGTACAGGGCCCGGCCGGCGGCTCCCTGGAAGCCGGGGGCGAAGGCGGCGGCGTCGGCGGCGGCGGCGGGGCCGGGGTAGGCGAGGGCGGCGGGGCGAGGGGGGTCCTCGGGGCCCAGGGGGGTGTCCTTGCCCACCAGGGACTCGATGGTGAAGCAGCGCTTCGCAGACGGCTGGAACATGGTGTGAGCCGGCAGCGGGGAGGGAGGGGGGCCGGAGCGGGGCCGGTCCTGCGGGTGCGCGCGTGTGTGCGGTGTGTGTGTGTGTGTGTGTGTGTGTGTGTGTG